AGTAAGATGAAAAGAGAAGAGAGATGTAAAAGGTAAACTTAGAAAAAGGGTCTATGATGCTAGTAGGCAAGATTTTATGGCACATCAACAACATAGCACAGCGGGGACTGGGCCATGTACAGCAGTAGGATGTTAGAATGATGGGAGGAAGGAACAACAAACATTAGATATAAAAACTTTAAAGATTGGCAGATTGGGCCGCAGCAGCGGCCTCAGTGTCCAGCGAATCAAGTGTGATGCAATCGTCTGTGCCGAGAGGCTCTTGTGCCCGAGTTTACGTCACAACTTACTGAGTGAATCAGATACAACTGCGCAGTAATTTCTTCAGGAACAGACTACTTTTATGCACAGGTTATATTCTTACACTGGATGTTGCGTGGAATGTCCAAGTGTGTGTGTTAAAGGGAACTCAGAGATTGCCAATTCTTCACTGACTGAAAACTTAAACTAGATTTGTCAATTAGCTCAAAAAAATACAGTTTTTTAAATTACTGAACATGAGTTTTAGTTGAAAACGACTAGATCTAGTGAGTTAAATGGTTCTATAAGGAAGGAACCCTGTAGACACAGGACCGAGGGTGCGAAGGTGATGTTCTCATCAATGGTGTGAGATGTGTATACGACTTAGGAAAGACGTGGTTGTTGATCATTTGGGTTATCAGTTAATAGCACTTTGTTTAAATACATGATTGTGGAGGGATAAGTATAGACTATGACTTGATATACAGGTGAATATAACGCTAACGGAAAGCTTGGGTGCTCGCTATAACCTCCTAACAGGTTAAGTATTGATTTGTATGTTTTATTGGACTTATCATGTGGTATTGAACTGCCATTGGGGATTGACTGTGCAGGAGGTCTAACCCGATGCAGGCTTTAGTTGTCATTTGGCAATAATAGATCTGCTCCTATCTACTGTCACAGTAGCATCGATGTCGTGGCCACAAAATGGTTCTTGTCGGGTCATCTCGATGTCTCGAAAGCAATCATTTACACGTTCCGAATGTGAAGAGAAGCGTTTTCTTCTGGTTTCTTCACGATGCTACACTGGCAGATATAGAGCATAATAGTGGATTAGTGTTCACGAATAACGCTTACGAGAGCAGCTCCTGAAAACGCAAGCGGGAAGTTGGCAGATCAGTAATATCGCAAACGCTTGCAGAGATCAAAAACTAGGCGGAATTGAATTGTACCGGGGCACCGGAGGAGAGAGTAGCAGCTTGGCGCGACATGTAGGGTATACCGTGGGAGCATCTGGAGAACGCGAAGGGCGGCGCGAGCGAGTCAGATTTTATGGCAGGTGTTGAGAGAGCTGACTCCGGTACGCCGCGGCCTGATACCATTTCGGCAGGACCATTCAAGACGTTTTGGTACATTCGTAATAAGTGGGTACTGGGGAACATGGAAAAAGACTATAGTTTTATTCTCCCAAGAGCAACCCCTAACAACAGATTAACAACGACCTGAGGAGGTTGAAATGGCTGTGTTCCTGAAAGAGTAATGTGGGTTGGGTTAGTTAAGTCAAGGATAAAAAAAATACCATTTAGTATACTAGTTTGTAAGTAGGTTAAACTTTATGTGAGTAATTCCATTTTGTGTAGACCTTCATACTTTACATTTCAGAGGAAATATTGTCCTTTTTACTGCACTAACATGAACCTAACAGCTGTAGTAATCTTTCAAGACTAACGTTGTTACATTGCAAATATAATAAGATTGCACTCTGGAGTTTGAACCAGTGGTGTGATGGTGAAATGTGTAGGCTCAAAAGATCATTTATTTTATATGCACTCAGTATGCAACTCTTCTTGTACATTAAATCTCTCTCTGTTGCTCGATTTGTAAGTGATGCTTTGTCATAGGCTTGATAAGGTGATGATTGCCTCCAGGGAGGGGGACATGAAACAAGACTGACTCATTTGTTGTATTTTAAGTAAGACAAGCACGAGTTGTGTTTCCTTTTTTTTTTTTTTTTCCTCTCTTAATGGAAACTCTCTTCACCTTTCACTTTCTTGCTTTCGTAGTAAATAGATCAAGTACAAGCAGCGGTTGAGTGAGGGCGTGGCTAGCCTAGCTTAGCAATAAAGACTAAGATAAACATGGGGGGAGTAAAAGCTATGCCCTGTCTCTGTCAAAAGTGGCATACAACACCCAGAGTTCAACTGTTTTAACTAGCTTGTTTTAACTGCACGAAACAAAAGTGTAGAAATGACCAAGGTAGGTAATCCAGCTGTAAATCTGATAGCTAGTGAGCACAGGGTTGTTGCTTCTCTGTACAGGTGGGACTTGTCAATTTCAGTTCCAGCCAAAATGTAATACCACAGACATTACATTTATGTGTTTCTGTACGAATCATTGGCTTACATAAAGATGAACGACGTCACATTTCCCCAAAGTGAAGCCCAAACATCCTTGATTGCCACCTGGTGGCTGGCTACAGTATAGGTCATAACGGCTGCCTCTATGTTAGCAGAATGGGACATGGGCCAACTAGAAAAACTGTCTATGTCGCTGATGTTTAATTAGTTTTTTTGATGCCAAGGAACAGGAAGTGTGATTTGTGATTGACGTTTGTGATTGACTCGCAATTGGGTCGAGCAGCGTTGTATGGGGCGGGACTCATCCCAGAGGCGATACTACTGCACAGACTGCTGGCTTCAAATGACGTCAACCAGTGTCGTCCAATCTTTATAAACAATCTTGGTACAATTAAACAAACCATGAACATGGTAGTCAGATGAGCTAGAGGTGTTGGTGTATTTAAGTTGTTTTCCCCTGCTTTATGCTAAGCTAAGCTTAACCTTGTCTTGACTTTATCCCAGACTCACGTCAGAAAGACGGTGGATAACTATATTTCTATTTCTTTAAAGTAAAAGAGTCTGGAGTGAGGACTTGGTTAGCCTTAGCTTAGCAATAAAGTCTGGGATCAGTAGCTGGCTCTGACCAAGTGAGGGTTGAACACACAGCAGATATGTGGAGAATAAGATTTTACTGTAAACACATTATTATAATGGAACAGCTGAAACTCCATAGTACTGACCTCTGACATTTCACTACATTCCCACTTTAAATACTTATATTTTTATTTACATGAAAGTCTGAAAGCAGTATTATATATTGTGGTACTGATAGCTTTAAACTTAAATAAGATCTACAGTCATTTCCCATTACCGTTTTCGTCAGTCATTCTAGGGGGGCCTACATATAAAAACCCAAAAAATCATCTGTAGTAATTCTTTAAGTTGAAATATGAAAGTATTTTCATTGCACTTGGTAAGTTGGATATTTTGTACAAATATTCTTGTATGGACATAATAACATTGTGAAGAGGAAACTGGTTCTCAGATCAATGATCCTTCAATCTGTTCTATGAAAGTAGAGCAAATATATTCCCACAGTTCATCTCAGCAGGATATAATTAGAGAATAACAAAAAATTTTGCTGTAGTATACATCGTGGCGAACTGTGAGTGATAGTCCTTCCACCATAAAAATCAAAATGTGATTGGTTTATTCCTGCCACTGCTTAAACAAACACATGCAAGCTGTGGGGGCTTCTGCAGAATTTATATACGTAGACACCATATTGGTCGCTTCAGCTGTTCTTGCGATATGTCAAACAGTTGCGCCATATTGGACAGGAAGACATGGTCTGTAAACAAACGATAAATTCGGCGGGCTGTGGTTTTTCTGGATAAAAATCTCTATAACGTTTTATATTTCCCCTCAGCCAAAGTTCAATGAGTCGT